TAAAGTATACTGAGAATCAAAGCTGATTATAAGTACTTTTGTTGTTGTTTTGAGACTGAAAATTCAGAAAATAAACTATAGTTTGGAAAAACTAAAAAGTACGCCTTAACAATAAATCGACCTAAGTAGAAAACAATTTTCACGCATAGGAGAGTTTGTGGTACCGCAATAGAAGGACCAAGCATCAAGTATGACTAATTATTTTGGATTAAGAACAATATAAAAATTGAGATATCAAGGTATAATTTAATTTTTTCCTCATAAAGGTCTTCTAGATTCCATAGATGATGCATTCGAATGGTTTCCTTGAAGAATTCGGAAATTGATTTTGTGCACATTCGCCATTTTGGCAAATCGTCAAACTTCATTCCCCTATTTCTCAGAAACAAATTATAGGATTGATTCAGTGCCATGAGAAATTTTGTTTAGGACGGCGAGAAATACACCATACTGAATTGCATAATGTCACAACAAACCAATACAATGTCAAAAAACGACATAATGTTACTTTTCGAGATACGTAATACCCGTGCCCATCTCCAAGAGAAACCTTTTAGTGAATGTGTACCTGCCCCAAAAACGTTTTGTACACAGTTATTCTAAGTATGCAAATTTTAAGATCCAAAAGATAGGGGGTTGGCACGATTATACGCGAAAAATAACGGAGTAATCGATGATTTTTTAACATCGCTAGCTTGAGGTACAAAATAACTCTTGAAATCACTCATACTATCTTGAAAGATTATCAAAAATCAGGTCTTATACTTATTTAGAAACGCCATCAATTATACAGTATGTTTCATTGCCACTTGAACTCTACAATGTATTAAAATGCCCACGTAAGATTGATGAAGATTGATCCACAAATTACAAGCAATGGAAAGTACACGTTGCAGACGTCTCTTTTCAAGTTTATATCAAGCCTGCGGGCTAAAAACTGATTGCAATTCATACATATACAACATATTAACTGAAGTTATCATTTGCGAAAAACCAGTTTAACTTAATATCTTATTTAAGAGGACGGAATATTGTAATTTTTGGCAAATGATTGGTTCATCGATTCTGGGTGGCCGAAATCGGAAAGGAATAAACTAAATTATAGTGGAGAGTATGAGAATATACGTTGTGCATGCTGTGTGCTTCAAAGACTGAATTAAGTTATTATTGCTGATTACATGTAGGAGATATCAAGATATGCACGTGAAGAATGAATGGTTTCAGTGCTGAATGCATTCGAACATTCCATGTGATTACAAATTAGTTCATGTCATGTTTAAGCAGTCGCGAGTTTTTATTCTTTATCAAACGAAGTTCCCGACCGAACTTCGGCTTCTGTTTCGGTTACATTCGGCCAAGAAATACTCTTTCTGCTACACATTCGGCATTCAGGCAAAAAAGACGAAGGCTTGGCCAACGAAGGGGTAGAAAATTTCTACGTACGCAAAGTTTTGTGAAAATATCGGGTACCAATAAAAAAGTACAGGGTGGCCAACATAATTTGATAAATCCCCTTATCTCAGAAACCAGTGGGTAAAAAATTATATTTGTTAAATGCAAAGATTCATTGGTTTAAATCAGTGTTTTATTTGATTGCATTGCATTTCATGTGTATATATAGGGAGTTCAGTTTTGTCTGAGGGACCATCATCTTCATTCTCACTGGCGTGGCAGTATTGTAATCGCCGAAAATTTCGAAAATGAAATATAATGATTTTTGGATGTTTTATGACGAAAAACTATAAATTATGACCAGAAAAACATAGAGGATTATCGACAAGAAAACAACAGGATGAGTTTTAGATGTTACATTTATGAAAAACCATGTTACTTATCTTCGTCAGTCTGTCAGTCTATCGGTCTGTTGTTAATCTTTGGCCCGCGTATAACTTGGGAAGTACTACGCGGATTTTGATGAAATTTCCATACAAAGATACTGCTATGCCAAGGACACAAGAAATTTTTTGTAGTTTTATAAAATCGCTCCAGTGGCGGCAGAGAAAAGCTAAAAACGAAAAAAATTAAAAACGCGCTCAAAATTAGTTTTTGATGGCTTAGACGCTTAGAGGATCCTGATCATTTTCAGAATTTGTTTTGCAGGTGTTAAATATTCGATATTGGGGTTGTAAAGGGTGTGGGGAAGTATATCTCAATTATTTACATGACGGTTTATGTATATCATCATTACTATTAATTAAGGCTAAATCCTGGGATCCAACATTAAAGAGACGGAAGGGGAGAAAGTGTAAACGTAAAAGTGGGACAATTTCGCGGCTCCAGCCTTGTGTCGGGGATACTGGAACGCAGAGATAAAAAATCAAACGGGATGTATAGTATACCCCACCCAAAGAAGGTTAAACAACCTTGTTCATACTTCCTACGCCACTTGCGAGGAGGTATTCTAATTGCGAAAAAATTGAAAATGAAATATTATGTTTTTTATTATGTTATATGAGATCTACATCACGAAAAACCCATCTCATTCCCGTCGGTGTGGCTGTCGGTCGGTCTATTGGCTGTACGCTAATCCTTGACTCGACTTGGATTTGGATGAAATTTCCACACAAGGTTACGATTGTGCCAAGGAAGTAAAAGCTTTGTAGGTTTTGAAAATCAGTGCAGTGGCGGCGGAGCTGGGAGCAAAAAACGAAAAAAAAAAACGCTCATTTTTGGTTTTTTGGCGTTTCAGAAGCTCCTGATCAGTTTTGTAAAATTTGTTGTTAAACAGTGGAGGTGAGAGTATATCTCAATTTTCTGGCGTTAGTATATTTAGACGCTTCCACCCCTGGTAATTCTACGCACCTATAAGACATATTTCACACATCATATATTTTCCCGTAGATTTGCCCCCAAAACTTGAACAACGAAACAAAAACATAAATTGCTTAAACTTCTTTTTTTTAAGTTTCAGAGGCTCCTGATCATTTTTGAAACTTGGGGGGTCGATAGTTTTAGTATTAGTCGAAGCCTTTCTGTCATTAATAAGGTTCTGATCCCGGTAGCAATGGGCAAATTAAATGATAAAAGTCCAAGGTATAATAAGAATAATAATACATTTATTTCATTGTTAAATAGCCACAAACTATAACAAATCAGAAGTCAAAAGGAAATGGTAGCAAAAAAATGCATACACTTTAAAAAACAATACAATACAGTTTAATAAACAGTTTCAAATACAACGAACTCTTCCAAGCTCTAAAAACACTTATCTGTTAGGAACGATTTCAAGTGATTTCTGAAACTGCTTGTGGTGCTTTTTGAATATCTTCTTCTAAATTATTGAAAATTTCACAACCCATGTAGCTCAAAGATTGCTGATATAATGGGCTCATAATTCGAAATAACTGCAATCGTTGGCGTTGCTTGCATCGAGTGGAGGCCACTGCCGACTGACTGTACAATGGCTAACAAACTCCAACTGGTCTGCGGTGGTGTCGTCACTGCCTGACTGGAAAAATATTTATATATTTTAGCAATATTTGGATATTAGGAGGCCGTACCACTTTAGAGTTCTACACATATATTTTTCTAAACTGTATGATCCTTAAATGTACCTCTCATATCGCCTAACCTTTGATTTGTGTTATTCCGTCTATGATGGTACTCTAAATATTTCGTCAAGTAGATTGACTTAGTACTTACACACATTGATACACAACAGACACAGACTGACAAACCCATTAGGCAAAGAAATATTCATTGTCACCAAAATGTCATTGATTGTATCTATCCTACAGTCGCTTTATAGGGACAGTGACGACAATTGAGACTTAACTCCGCCCACCCGCCCTTAAGAGGCAAAAGTTGTTTCTTTACTATAAGAGACGTATAATTACATGATATAATTTTGTGTTTTTTATGGTGAGGATATCTTAATGTATTTTCATCTTAATCCAGATGGTATTAGTGTATTTAATTTTGTTCTGATATAAGTTTTTGCCTGGGATCGACCACTTTGATGGAATTAATTGATATGTCTCATACTTTCAACTACAGACCTTGGATGAAATTTGGTTTTTTATTTAGTAATTGAGGATTTAATGTATTTTCATCTTAATCAGATGTGTGTATTCAATTTTGTTCTAATATAGGTTTTTTCTGGGATCGACCACTTGGATGGAATTAATTGATATCTCCCACACTTTCAACTACATATCTTGGATGCAGATTAATTTTTTTAAATAGATTATTAGTATAATAATATAAGTAAATAATGTTTATAAAGGTAAAAGGAAAATGATTTATAGTATTTAGAGAGACTTATTTTCTGGATGATCCTTGTAAAGGAAACATAACCTGTAAGCTTCATCGGGGGTACCTATTTATTGTTAGGTCTATATTTATCACTTTATCAGTTTAATTTTAGAAATAAAAGTCTTTCTTTGTTAATACTTTCATGGTTTATATACTCTCTGGCATGAAAATTTAAATTGAAAACTGAAATTGACAAAAGAACTCAGGCTATTTTATGGTCCAATAACATTTTTTATAGAAACATGAAAAAATGAGTCTAAGATATTTTTTTGTTTTTTTTTTTCGTATGTATTTGTATTGTTACTGATTTTTGCTGTTTCATGTAGGAGAGAACTCGGGTCATACAGGACTAGTGTTTCTTATTGATGTGTCATGTATCAAAGTTTTGGACAATATTGTATAATAAAACATTAAAAAAGATACCTTTGCTTTTTTTAACGAATAAAACCAGTAGATATATTTTTTTTGAAAAATAAAAACAAAGGCAAATCAGAAACACTATACGCAATAACCTGCATATTTGAAAACTGGTTTCAGGACAAAAACTAGGTGTACCAGAATAAATATTTATTAGTTACAACTTTTATCTTAATGACTTACTTGCATATTGAGTAAATTAGTATTTTTCTTACTAGCTATTTTAAGCCTAAAAACCACATACCTATTAAAAATTTTTTGCTAAACAGTATGACAATTTAATATATTATCTACTACTATTTCTTTCATTTTATTAACAAAAAAAACTTTCAAATGAATATTTTGAGAACAAATGTCAAAGAATTTTTTAAGCACGCATTCCATATCACAGAAGATCCTGACATAATTGTTTCATCACTTGAGTTTTTTTTAGCCCTATCAGCATCATACACTTGACTTTCAGAGGAGTCGAAAGAGTGTGATTTACCTAGGAGTGCCACTTTCATCTTTTTTGTAGGAGTAGGATCAACAATTTCTTCTTCGTTATCCACAACAACAGGTGTGATACTTGCAGGAACTTCTCTTTGTGTCGGGGGCTTTCTCTTAGGTTTGGCTTTAGTGAAAGAGAAAATTGTTGGAACAGCGCTACTCTGCAATTTCCTATTGCCATCTTCTCTCATTTTTTACCACACTTCTGGAGCAAAGTGAATCTGAACCAAAATAAAAAATTTGAGAAACAATGTAGGTGGTAGACGGTCTCTGACTGTCGTTCGAGGAGGTACCACCAGGCGGATCTCGTAGGCGGGACCAGAATGTGTGAATGGTGCATGCACACGTGTTCCCTCATTAGAGTCCATGTGGCGCCCCTCCTTTTCCCCTGTATGTCTCCTCCTATAGCCCCACTGGTGTTTAGGCCTTAGGCCTTCGTGGTAGCTGGAGTACAAAAAAAGGTAGTGCTTCTGATTTAATAACTTTTATTAATTCAATACTATATTCTATTTTGTCTTCAATTTTAACAAAATACCATTATTATATTATTCAAAATTCAAAGTTATACTGGCGTGTCTTACCTCATAAATGTTGACCTCGCCAAATTCAAATACACCTCTTTATACAGATACTGATCGATCCTTACTACACTGTATATAATGTAAAGCAAAAGTATACAACAAAAATGTTGACCCTTAATGGCGGCACCAATCAAAACGTTGAAGATCTATTGTCGCTACTGTCCCTATACAGCTACTGTAGCGCAGACTGTAATCTATCCCAGAAAAAGCTGATGCGAGATCTCTGCTTCAGCAAAAGCGGTAAAGTGTCAGCGGTAGCGTTAGATGGCTGTAGCTTTTGACAGTGTTTTGACAGGTGACATCGAAACATCAAGCTCACCTGATATTGTGCTATTAACCAATTTTTCAGATACTACACCCTAGGTATATTCTGGTTTTCCATGTTTTTCTTCAAATTCAGACGATTTTCCGCTAATATATAAATATATATAAAAAGATCTTATTAACCTAACCTATCTGTTCAACTTTCAAACTTGACAACTCGGTACGTGCATACGCATGCGCTCTACTATGCACTGAAATGCTGAACCAGCAAAAATGCTGAATGTGGCGTCAGCCGCTATCAAAAGCAGCCGAAACAGCGGTGTCGTCTAACGCCTCATATGTCAAAATATGGACAGCCGCTCATTGCGCTTCTTTGTTGATAGACGCAAGCATTATTGTCATTGTACTTGATAAAGGCCACCGTGATGCTCAAAATGTTATACAATAAACAGGAATATAAACATACATGCAGTTTGACTCGGTTTTTATTCCACCTTTACATCATTATGTTTCATTTTCGCCCAAGAAGCCATCTGGCCCAGTGTTACCGGATTATGGCCGACAAGCGGTACCGCATCGCGTTGTGCATGCGTGATGCGTGTGATAGCCGCAATGATAGGCAGGGAAACGGGAACAAACATAGTCGGCAACTATAGGGATTAAGGGATTTGGTGTGGTTAACAGGGCGCGTCACCATTCAACCCAGGACGGCGATCTCTTTATTATCATGGACGAGGTCGAGGAACACCGTGGAAAGGTACACAAAAGGACGTGATGTTGCATGATATCGTCTTTTGGGCGCGATAGGGGACTTGATCAGAGACGGCCTTGGAATTTTTCATAGGAGAATGGAACGGATAAAATTTAAGAGCGTATTTCGATCATAGTAATTAGTAAACAGTATTTCAAACCTATCTGGTTTTGGTTTCATTCAGCAGCCAGACAAACAAACATGGATGATTAATGCTGATTAGTGAAGATCGAACTCGTCACTTGCGACCTTTTGACGCTGCTTTAACAAACTATATCTTCAATCTTTCCATTAAAGCCCTCTATCCGAGGAGCAAAATTTGATCCATGGGTCAAAATTGACAAATCAAAAGGCATTTATGAAGTAATAGATCTGATGAATATATTGAATTTCTTCACAAAATAGCGAAAAATTCAACGATTTTTGTAAGAATACCTAATCCCCATATTAAATCAAGAAACACTTCTTATATACTAAGTGACATATAAATCCGAACACCCAGTTTAAATGGTTTTATTTTAATAAAAGTTGGTGAATGTATTTATCTTACTGTAAATAACAAGTGAAAAAATTTTCAGCCTTATCAGTTGGCCATTCCGGTTTTTATACTGCTTTTTTTTAATTCACTAACGCTCTAAAAATGAATATTTCAGCCGCAGTAAAGAATCAACGTTGGCGGATTTTGGTTCTTGACATCCTTTACGATCGGTTACGATGCCTAGCGTACGGAGACCTGTACGATTTCGTCAACTTAGTGAGTTTGATAGGGGCCGTATAGTGGGACTTCGGGAAGCTGGACTTTCTTTTCGGGCAATTGCAGTTAGAGTGCAAAGAAGTGTAGACACTGTGGTTAGGTGTTGTCAGGCATGGCTTCGAGAAGGCCGTACGCAAAGAGCAAGGGGCACTGGATGCCGCCGTAGAACAACAGACCGTGAAGATCGCCGCCTAAGATTATTGGCCTTAAGGGACCGTTTCTCCACTACCAGGTCCATCGCAAATGAATGGTTTGCAGAACACGGAAGACCTATTGGCATGCGAAGTGTTTACCGACGAATGAGAAGTTTTGGCTTGTTTTCATACCGGCCACACTGGGTCCTCCCTTTAACTCGAGAACACCGACGTAATCGCCTTGAGTCGTGCAGACAACGGTCACTCTGGGATCAGGAATGGAACAGTATTGTCTTTAGTGACGAGTCTCGATTTTGTTTAGGCATGCACGATGGTCGTGCCAGGGTTAGAAGGCGACGTGGTGAAAGGAGGAATCCAAAGTTTTTTGTTGAAGGACATGTTCATCACACTGTTGGAGTTATAGTTTGGGGTGCTATAGCTTATGGTTCCAGGTCACCTTTAATCTTCACCAGAGGTAGGATGAACGCGCAGCGTTATATCCACGAAGTTCTGGAACCCCATCTTTTACCCTATCTTGACACCCTGGCAGATCCAACTTTACAACAAGATAATGCCCGACCACATGTTGCAAGAGTCACAATAGACTTCTTTCAACATAATGATGTCACATTGTTTCCATGGCCACCAAGATCTCCCGACTTATCCCCAATTGAGCACGTGTGGGATATGATGGGTAGGAGATTGCTCAATTTGCAACGTCCTCCTCAGACTCTAGAAGCACTTCGAGAAGAGTTGGTGGTTGCCTGGAATGAGATACCACAGGAGGACATTGACCACCTGATCAGAAGCATGCCTAGGCGCGTTGGAGAATGCGTAGCACATCAGGGTGCATCCACACATTATTAAAGGTCAAAGGGCTTTAAAGCAGAGCAATCATTTTGAAATTTTTATCATTTACTTATTATGCTTCAATAAGTACTTATACAAAATTTTATTAAAATAAAACCATTTAAACTGGGTGTTCGGATTTATATGTCACTTAGTATATATCACTTGGTGCAGATACATAAGCTGGGGATCAAAATTTACTAATCAGAAATAAGGCTTTAATCACTCCTCGAACCATGGATCACATTTGATTGAATAGATTAGTATGGCAGCAGTCACTGAGAATAGTATTTAGGCATTTTAATGCGACATGCACACATTCTGGTCCCACCTACGAGATCCGTCAGGTGGTACCTCCGCGTTCGACAGTCAGAAACCGTCTACCACCTACGGACGATCACAACATCTATAGCCAAGAGAAAAATTTCTTCTGGGACGGGATTCCAACCCGCGCAGCACACGTCGACTGATCATGAGACTGAAGAGTCTACCACTGCGGCCACCGCTGCTGCCTGGAATGAAATGGTTTTGGTCAAGTTTTTTATAGTACTTTTATGATTTTTTTTGTTGTTCTAATATATTTTGATTTTGTGCTGTAACTATGATGTAAGCTATACTACTGCTTTTTGCTCTGTGAATGGTATTTACTGTTGCACATAAACACATTTTTACTACTAAAAAATGTAGCTGGGTCAGCTGATTTATGAGGAATTTCTTGAATACGGGAGTTAGAAACCCTTTAATCAGATATCGTGTATTTTTTACAACTTTAAGAGATATTTCACGAATTGTGATTGATCAACCTTGATCAGTGGATCAATTGACTCACGGGTCAATAGTAAAATCAGCCCTAAATGTTTCAAAACAGTGTGGGGCTGACATAACATCTAAAAACATCTTATGCATTTGTCGATGCAACACAAGCATCAACTATATAGAGTAGATAATTGACTGCTAAATTGCTGAAATCTAAGGAGTCTGCTGTGCTGCTTACTATTTATCTCATAGCGTTGGTAAATGAAGGGAGAATGTGCAGTAATTCATAAGAATAGTTGACAATGAAGGATATAACCTGATAGGAGTAGAACCAACATGCAATATTCAGACTGACAACTAAACAAATTTGGAAAGAAGCCTTTCTTCTTTAAGTGATTATTAAGAAATAGCGTCTATACAGCACGAAATTCCCCGCTATTGCCTTTACGTCCCTGCTCTGTTTATCTTTCACAAGTCCCCTGACAAATCCGCCACACCTGGATGATTTTATTTAATTCTATGGATCGTTTAAGCCCTCTTCAGGTTGCAACACCCTTGTATATTTTCTCTAGCTTGTCAAAATTTTATCCTCATTACCACTTCGATAGTTAAACTATAGCGCACCTCATTTGGAGTGGATTATCTTACGCATAACATTTCTAGGAGGTAACAAACATAAGAATGATGTAAACGATTTTGGCTCGAGCACAGCAAAAAACTATTTTTTCAATAATAGAAATACGAACGCGATTCATAATGAATGTTATTTTCATCACCCTACAGGGTGTTAGGGAAATAATATTCGTAACTATAATAAGTGATTCCTTACATTATTCTAAGCAAAAAAGGTCATTATAACGAAAATAAACCGTTTCGGAGCAAAAAAATGCTGAACTTATTTCTTTTTGGTCATAAAAAAAAATTAATTTTGCACCTTAATAATTTAAATTCATATGCCTAATAGTGTAAAATATATCAATACATCTATTTATTAATTAACTGTCTCTAACAAAATAATTTTCTTGCTTATGAAATACAATTTTCAGTAGAAAGACAGACAAACAAAATCCCTCACACAACTGGCAACGTCGTACTCCGCCTGCACTGCTTGTATCATCGCGACCGACATCGT